ACTGTTTAAATAAGTAAGTCTAAATGAAAATGTTTTCAACAATATGTAGATGCTGTTGAAATGAGTAAAATATACAATTATCTAAATTTATTTTTTATTTTTTTAAAGATTTTATTTATTTTATTTTTTCCCCCCAAAGCCCCAGTAGATAGTTGTATGTCATAGCTGCACATCCTTCCAGTTGCTGTATGTGGGACACGGCCTCAGCATGGCCAGAGAAGCGGTGCGTCGGTGCGCGCCCGGGATCCGAACCCCGGGCCGCCAGCAGCGGAGCGCGTGCACTTAACCGCTAAGCCACGGGGCCGGCCCTTCAATTATCTAAATTTAAATGATACTTTTCATATATATTTCTCTCAATCAATAGATCCTTAGACTGTAATGTTAGGATTCTTCTTTACAACATTAAAAAGAGCCATCAGAATTTCCATTTTTGGGGCCAGCCCCATGGCATAGTGGTTAAGTGCACGTGCTCCGCTGCTGGCGGCTGGGGTTCGGATCCCAAGCGCTCACCAATGCACCGCTTCTCAGGCCATGCTGTGGCGGCGTCCCATATAAAGTGGAGGAAGATGGGCACAGATGTTAGCCCAGGGCCAGTCTTCCTCAGTAAAAAGAGGAGGATTGGCATGGATGTTAGCTCAGGGCTGATCTTCCTCCCAAAAAAAAAAAAAGAATTTCCATTTCTGGCATCGTATGGATTAAAATTTCTAAACAGCCTCCCTAACTAAAACAACTAAAATCCTAGGTTAAATATAATTCTTAACTTTAAAATTCATAGATGAGGGCCCGCCCTGTGGCTTAGCGGGTAAGTGTGCGTGCTCCGCTACTGGCGGCCCGGGTTCGGATCCCGGGCGCACACTGACGCACCGTTTCTCCAGCCATGCTGAGGCGGCATCCCACATACAGCAACTAGAAGGATGTGCAACTATGACATACAACTATCTACTGGGGCTTTGGGGAAAAAAAAGAAAGGAGGAGGATTGGCAATAGACGTTAGCTCAGGACTGGTCTTCCTCAGCAAAAAGAGGAGGATTGGCATGGATGTTAGCTGAGGGCTGATCTTCCTCACCAATAAATAAATAAATAAATAAATAAATAAATAAATAAAATTCATAGATGAACTGGCACAAAAGTAATGAGTTAGAATGACCCCAAAACAAACTGTAACCAGAAACACACCTCCTGGAAACATTTTCTTTACTTTACGAATGAAATGCTCTCCTGGTTTTGCACCCACATCACTGGCCACTCCTCAGGGTCCTCTTTTCCTGGATCCTCCTCAACCTCCTACCTCTTAACAGTGGACTGTTCCAAGATTTGGTCCTTGGATCTCTTCTCTAACTACATCCACTCCCTTGGCAATCTTATTTAGTCTGTTTTAAATATTATTTATACATTAATAAACTTACAAATTTTTTTCTCTGACTGAAACCTCCCCCCTGAGCTTCAGATTTGTGTGTCCAACTGCCTGTTTTCTCATCTCTACTTGATTATCTAAAAGGCATCATACTGGTCCAGCCCCGTTGGCCTAATGGTTAAGTTCAGGGTGCTCCACTTATGCAGCCCGGGTTCATTCAGTTCCTGGGCGTGGACCTATACCACTCGCCTGTCAGTGGCTATGCTGTGAAAAAGAGGAAGATTGGCAGCGGATGTTAGCTCAGGGTGAATTTTCCTCAGCAACAGAAAAAAAGGCATCATACTTAAAATGCCCAAATATAAACTTAGTCAATGGCAATTCCATTCTTCCTGTTGCTTAGGCCAAAAACATTGGAGTCATCCTTGCCTTCTCTTTTTCTCATGTCCCAAATGAGTAGAGTGAGGAAAACAGAAAAGAAAAAGAAAAGACAAAAATGACTCAATCAATCCAAAATAAGGTGAGAAAAGGGAAAAGAAAAAGAAAAACAGAACAATAGAAAACCAAATAAAACAAAACCAAATATATTAGTAATTACTCTAAATGTAAATGTACTGATTCCTCTAGCTAAAAGACAGATTATCAAATTGAATTTTAAAAAAAACAAAAACTAGGGTCGGCCTGGTGGCGCAAGCAGTTAAGTGCGCGCACTCTGCTGTGGCGGCCCGGGTTTGCAGGTTGGGAGCCCGGGCGCGCACCCACGCACTACTGGTCAAGCCATGCTGTGGTGGCGTCCCATATAAAGTAGAGGAAGATGAGCACGGATGTTAGCTCAGGGCCAATCTTCCTCGGCAAAAAAAAAAAGAGGAGGATTGGCATTGGATGTTAGCTCAGGGCTGATTTTCCTCACCAAAAAAAAAAAAAAACAACAAACTAATTCTGGCTATGTGCTAGATATAATAGATACACCTATAGCATAAAAACACAGAAAGACTAAAATTCAAAGAATGTAAATATATAATATAGGTAAGTTCTAACCAAAAGAAGGCTGATTTAACTATATTTCTAACAGACAAAATAACTTTTAAGCAGAAAGCATTACTAGTCACTACAAAATAAGACCATTACAAAATAGTAAAAGGATCAATTAATCAGGAAGATATAACAGTTCTAAACTAGAAAGCTCCAATAACACAGCTTTTAAAAATACATAAAAGCAAAAATTGACATATCTACAAAGAGATATTAACAAATTCATTATCATAGTATGTACATTACATACCTCCTCCAGTATCTGATAGATCAAACAGACCCTCAAAAAAGTCATGAAATATATAGAACATTTTGAACAGCACAATTAGTAGGCTGGCCTAATAGAAACAGATAGAAAATTACTCCCCAAAATTGGAGAATAAACATTCTTTTCAAGCACACATGGATCATTGACAAAAATTGCATACCTGCCATAAAGTTAGCCTCACAAATGTCTAAATGCAATTAAGTTAGCCTCACAAATGTCTAAATGCAATTAAGTTAGAAATCAGTTACAAAAAGATAATTAAGGGAAAAAAATATATGTTTGGATTTTTTTTTTTTTTTTGGTGAGGAAGATTGGCCCTAGGCTAACATCCGTGCCCATCTTCCTCTATTTTGTATGTGGGACACCGTCACAGCATGGCTTGATGAGCGGTGCGTCAGTCCGCTTCCAGGATCTGACAGGATCTGAACCTGCAAAACCCAGGCTGCCGAAGTGGAGCGCATGCACTTAACCGCTGCACCACTGGGCTGGCCCTGTTTGGAAAATTTTTAAATGCACTTCTCAACCACTCGCCTGTCAGTGGCCTCTTTGACTTGTAGTCAAAGAGGAAATCATAGTAGAAATTAGAAAATACTTAAAATAAATGGTAATGAGAATACTATATCAAAACTTGTGGAATGCAGCTAAAGTGGTACTTTGTTTTTTTTTAGTTGTTTTATTTTATTTTATTTATTTATTTATTTTGTGAGGAAGATCAGCCCTGAGCTAATATCCATGCCAATCTTCCTCTTTTTGCTGAGGAAGACCGGCCCTGAGATAACATCTATTGCCAATCCTCCTTTTTTTTTTTTCCCCTTTTCCTCCCCAAAGCCCCAGTAGATAGTTGTTATGTCATAGTTGCACATCCTTCTAGTTACTATATATGGGATGCCACCTCAGCGTGGCCGGACAAGCGGCGCATCGGTGCACGCCCGGGAGTAGCGGACCACGCACACTTAACTGCTAAGCCACAGGACCAGCCCCTAAAGTGGTACTTTGAAGGAATTCTACAGCAGTAGTACTTACATCAGGAAATAACTAAGGCTCAAAATAATGAGCTAAGAAGTTAGAAAGATAACAGAATAAATCTAAAGAAATGGAAGGAAATAATAAATAGTAGAAATTAATAAAGTAGGAAAACATTCAATAGAGAAGATCAACAAAGCCAGAAGTTAGTTACTTGAAAAGACTAATAAAAAAGACTAACATCTGGCAAGAGTAACCAAGAACAAAAAGGAGAATACACAGTAATATTAAAAATGATAAGGGAACTATACTAAATGTGCTACATAGATTAAACAGATAAAGGTTATAATAACTTTATGCCAATAAATATAAAAACTTACTTAGTTAAAATGAATAGATTCCTAGAAAAATACAATTCACCAAAACTGGCTAAAGAAGAAATAAAGAACCTGAAAACTTGAACATAAAATTGCTCTAAAAAATAAAAACAGTCTTTAATTTAAACAAAAAATTCCTATAACCATTAAAGAATTTGAATCAACTTAAATTTTCCACAAAGGAAGCAGGAGGTCCAGATGGCTTCATTAGTGAATTCTTTGAGTCAACAGAAAAATGGGTGATTGAACTGTGGTAGAGTCATACAATGGAGTGCTACACAGCCATGAAAATGAACTAACTCCAGTTGCATGCACCCACATGATTGATTCTCAAAAGAATGTTGAGTGAAAGAAGCAGTCACAGAAGAATTCATACACTATGATTCCATTTATATAATGCTCAAAAATAGGGAAAATAATAAATACATAAAGATACATAAATAGATGTTAAAACCATAAAGAAAAGCAAAAAAATAATTACCGTAAAATTTATATCTTGTTTGCCTGGAACTGGGGATGCATTCTGGGAGGAATATACAGAGGAGCTTCTGAGGTACTAGAAATATCCTATTTTTTAACCTGAGTGTTGGATACACAGGTGTTCTTTTCATTGTTACTCTTTATTTCCACTCTTTAATTCCACTCCTAGGTATATACTCTGGAGAAATTCTTGCACTTGCAGAAACATTTTATATACTCTTTTGTATATCTGATATCTTTTTCAATTTACAAGGTTATTTATTCTACGCAGATGACAAAAAGAATGAGGTAAATATGTATATACTGACATGAGGAAAATATTCAATGTATATTAAGTGACAAGCATGTTGTAGAACTCAACAGTGTAATCCCATTTTAATAAAAATATTAATGTATCCTTTGAAATAAATCTGACCAATATACAATGTGAACACTTTATCTCTGGGATGGTTTTCATTTCAAAATTATACATTTCTGTAGTGTTTCAATATTTTGCAGTAATCTCATTTACTTTTGTAAATACAATACAATAAAGATTATTTTTATGTGTAAAAAACTGTTTCAAATGGAGGAATACTTATTCTGGAAAGAGAGACTTTTTCTCCCTTTTGCAAGCCAAAAAGAGTTCCCTGATGACACCACCCCCCCCACCCCAATTCTGTAAAAGAGAATTTGTGAGGACAGAAAGTTCAAAATGAGAAGGGCTTCTGGTCTCAGGTCTCTTTAATGGGGCAGAGAGTGAACGGGGCCTGGTCAGTCCCTCTGGCTTACTAGCCTTTCCTAACCACAAAGCAGACCTACTTGTTCCCTGCCACTCTCCACCCCCGGCTCAAGAGGGTGACTGAGGTCTTGGCCAGCTGCCTTCCAGTCTTGCCCCATTGTTCCAGGTTCCCAGCCGACTGAGCATCTGACAGTTAAGCCAAAGGCCAACAATGTCCTGACTTCCTGAGTAAACACCTGTGAACTGAGAGAAGACACAGTGGGGTCAGAGCAAGTGCTCAGAGACACAGTAGGGCAAAGAACAGAGCAAAGCAGTGATAGGGGATAAGGAAAGCCCTGGAGATCTTGTTCTGGGCTAGCCTGTGAATCGCCCTTTCTCTTTCTAGCCTCTAGAATTTTCCATTGCAAGTGTTGGAGGCTCTTGGGCTCTTGGGCTTGGAGAGGCATGGAGAGGAGGGTGTTCTGTGGCCCAAAAGAGAGTTCATCTTATCAAGGGGGAAAAATTCCAGGGTTTTGTACATGCTGTGCCCTCTGCCTGGAACATTTTCCCTCCACCTTGTCCTAGCTAGCTTCTATTCATTCTTCAGATTTCAAATTGTGGATCACTTCCTCTTGGAAGCCTTTCCCAACTCCTACCACCCCACCTTTACCACCCTCCAAGGAGGGCTTAGAGGCCTCTCTGCTCCCATAGCCTGTGCTTCCCTTAGCCAGCACTATCCCACTCTAACAGTGGCCTGTTTGTCTTTCCCACTAGAATTTTAACTTCCTGAGATCAGCAACTATGATTGTCTTACCACTGTCTCTCTACTACCTAGATACTCCATAAGTCCTCAGAAAATGTTCTGATAAATGGATGAGTAAAATGAAGGAATGGCAGAGGGCAAGTGACAGAGAATCCTGGCACTTGTCTGGAGTGTGGTTCTCAGCAGCCTAGGGGAGGAGCCTCCAAAGCAAAGGAAAGCAGGAGGGAGCTTTACCCTCCCTTTCTCTGCTCCCTCCTCCTTCCCATTCCTTTCTCATCGCACCCTTCCCTTCCCCACCTCCCATTTCCACATCCAGTTTGGTGTGAGCTTGAGCTCCCTCTACCGGCCAGACTTCAGTGCCGCAGGGAGCCAAGCCCAGGTACACTTGCTTGTTTCCTTTTTCCCTCTGGAGACACCTTACTACCCCCTCCCCCACTCTAAGGTTCCTGAGGGACTGGAGCATAAAGAGAAAACAGGGCTGGTCAACACACCGGGAGGTTTCCAAGATCTGAGCTGACCTCCCTTCCTCGATGCCTGGGGCACTTCCCTCACACCCTCACCTCATGCTGTGTTTCCTGGAGTCTCCACCCTCAGACTCCTACTCCAGCTAATTCACAGAGATGTTGATTTCTGGAGCCTTCGGCTGATACATCAGCTCCGACTGTGAACGGAGATCCCAAGATGATTTGGGAATAGACATAGACGGAAAGACAAAGAGAGAAAGGGACCCAGAGAGTGAAAGGATATTAACCCACATTGAGACCAAGACAAAGATCAGGGTTGAGAAAGACAGCCCATTAGAGCTGTGTCCCCAGCCCTTTCCACCCCCATGGGCTCATAAACCAGGGCCCCTGCCCTATGAAGAAAGATTTCCCTCACTCCTTCAGTGTGCCCATGTCAATACGGAGCTGAGGGGAGTGATTGTGTTGATCAGATCTTCAGGCTTAATGGAGATATTAGACTTTAGGGACAACTCCTGGACAAGAGTGCTCTCCCCAGCCCTGCCCCCTTCTCCTGAGAGAGCCCCTCCTGGAGCTCACATCTTCACTGTCGCTTCTGCTGAATGAGTACTCTGGCTCCAGCCCCTTCTCAGGGATGTTCCTCTCCTTCTCGGGCATCAGCTCATCCAGCCAGAGGAGTTCTTGTGGTGAGAAGACCCACTCCAGTGTCTTTCGCACCCCCACGAGGCCCAGCAACTGCAGGGACAGAAACAAAGGCCAGGGTTGTCAGCAACAGCAGTAGGAACATTAACAAGAGTAACATTTGAGGGCCGGCCTCGTGGCTTAGTGGTTAAGTGCGTGTGCTCCGCTGCTGGCGGCCTGGGTTCAGATCCTGGGCACACACTGACGCACTGCTTCTCCGGCCATTCTGAAGCCGCGTCCCACATGCAGCAACTAGAAGGATGTGCAGCTATGACATACAACTATCTACTGGGGCTTTGGGTGGGTGGGGGGGTAAATAAATAAATAAATCTTTAAAAAAAATAGAGTAACATTTGAGCACTTCTTATGTGCGAGGCATTGTGTATTATTTCACTGAATCCAACACATTCCTATGAAGTGGATATAATAATTATCCCCATTGTACAGAGAAGGAAACTGAGGCCCTGAGAGTATAGTAACTTCTCAGAGGTCACACAGCTGGGATGTGGTAACCAGATTTGTCCTACTGCAAAGCCCATGGCTCTTAACTTTCTCAGTGAATAAGAACAAGGCCAGAAGCTACCTATGTTATTACCTCACTGAACAACAAAAGTACCAGCATTGCCTCTCCCAGGGCCTCAGTTTTCAGGGCTTTATGATACTACCTGTAGTTAATCAGCCCAAAGAGGGTGGGAAAGGAGTTGAATCAGGTATCCCAGGACTAACCCATCTGTAAGCATCCCTCTTTGACCCTCTTTCTCTGTCCTAGGATTTCCAACCAGGCAGAGCCAGGGCAAGTGAGACAGGGGAGAGTCTTCTTCTTGTGGAGGCCTTGGCCACTCCCTGTGGCTCAGAGTCTCCCAGGACACCACCCAACCCTGAATCACCATGAGGGGGAAGATGATGGCTGCAGGGGTAGACTTGATTATCCAGAGCAGACCCAGGCAGGCAAGCTGGATGGCTGTGAAGAGGTGGACCCTGTTCAGAGGCACATGCCGCAAGAGAAGGAGGTCTGGCTGGTATTTTGCTGGCATCAATAGTAGCTGCACCCTCTTCATGAACTGGGGGAACAAGAGGAGGAAAGCAGGGTACTCAGCTAGCCTGGAGGGTGTCACCGTTAGCTATCCAAGCCCAGCACAGGGTGTGGTCAGAAGATTCCCCTTGGCCCCTCTGCATCCAGAGCATGGCAGCAGAGTCCCTGTGCCCAGTAGAGGCAGGAAAAGAGGATAGAGGGGAATTGGCAAGTGTAGGTAGGAGGTACCAGCAGGAAAGAAAAGGAGGAGGAATGGGGTTGCTTGGCAATTTTAACGGGCTCACCTGTATGCTGCTAATTGCTGCGACCCCCATGTACAGGAAGATGCCATAGAGCACGGGCATCGGGATGAACTGGTAGAAAGAAGTGGAGAGCTGGCAAAGGAGTTCACCTCTGCCAGCTGCCCAGACACCCCCCTCAGGCTCAACCCTAGCCTCCAGCATCCAGCATCTAAGCCTACCCAAGGTCTTTCCATTCCTTTCTCACTTTGCATGCCTGATCTCATTGAATCTCCACATCAACCAGATGAGGTAAATTATACAAGTGTCTTCATTTTACAGGCGGGGACATTGGATTTCAGAAAAACTAAGTAATTTGCCCGTTACCTGACCTACCTCTCCAATCCTATCTATCACATTCCTCTCTGCTGTCTCTATTCCTGCTACACTGCCCTCCTTTCCTTCCCCCAACATGCTGAAGTTTGTTTCTACTCCTCGCAAGGCCTTTTGCTTTGTTGTTCCCTCCACCTAAAATGCTCTTCCTTGACTTCCTTCTCACTACTCATGCTTCTCACTACTCATCTCATCACACCCAGAAAGGTCTTCCCTGACACTCCAATCTAAAGTAGGCCCCTGGTGCTCTTAACCACCTTACCTTCTTTTATTTTTCATGAAGTTACCACGATCTGAAATTATCCTATTTTATTGTTTTAATTTTTTTTTTTATGTCTCCTCTCACCAGACTGCAGGGAGTGAATGATCTCTTTTGATCACCACTATGTCCCCAGTCCCTGGAACAGTGCTTGGCATATGGTTTATGCTCAGTAAATATCTGCTGAATGAGAGTCGCCTAGTTAGTAAGTGGCTGATCAGGTCCATCTGGCTCTTTCAACTACTCCACTCTCACCCAGCTGCTGTGACCTCTCCCTCCCCTAACCTCTTGTCCTCCTGCCAGTGACTCTTGTGTGCCATTCTCCACACCCTCCTTGACTGCTCAGCTGTCTTGGCTTATTGAACCTTTCTGCTACGACTTGTTAATTTTTGTTCATATGTGTGTGTTGCTGACAGGGGCTTGGTTCCAGATTCCTTTTCAATACTCCTGCCCTCCCCACCCCTTCTCCCTGGTGCCCAGCAGAGCCCTGCACACAACAGGTGTTCTCTAAACATCTGGTGAGGGAGAAGTGAAGAGTTTTGCCTCAGAGATTTTCTGGGCTGTGATGATCACACTCTTAGTCCAAGGCTTGTTGGGAGGCTGGGGCAAAGGTAGCACTTGGCCCCTAGGGGATGGTGGTGGGCCCACACCCCGCTCCACTGGGTAGAAAACCCACTGGATAAGAGTTTGGGTTCTCAGATCTGAAAAGCTAGCTCTCTTGGTGGTCTCTCCTAAGCTACTTAACCTCTTTCCCCTTGAGCTTCCTCATTTGTAAAGTACGTATGCCTCTCAGGGTTAATGTGAGGATTAAATGAGACTGAGTATGGAGAAAACAGGGTGCCTGGGGTTGCAGTAAGTGTTCAGTCAGTGTCAGTTCTTGCCATGTTTATTATTATTACCACCCTACCCCTGACACCAGCCTGTCTAATAAAGGTACCTTGAGAACAGGTGCCAGGAAGATGGAGATTCCTGTGAGGATGAACACCACCAGGCCTGTCAGCCTCTGCTCCCTGTGAGGAGAGGGAGGAGTTAGCCAGGGTCTGGGAGAGCCCCTGGGGATCCAGGCTGCAGACACTGGCCAGACCCCACTACTGAACCTGGCAGGAGGGAAGTGGAGGGATCCCCCAGCAGTCACAGGCAGGGAGGGGGCCTTAGCTTGGTGTGAAAAATTGGTAGAGAGGAGAGGATAGGGTACTTCAATAGGGGGGTCCCAAACCTCTCTATCAGCTCAGGCTCATAGTTGCCTTTTTTAAAATTTTTTATTTCTTTTTTCTTTTTTTATTTTTTTTGTGAGGAAGATCAGCCCTGAGCTAACATCCAATGCCAATCCTCTTCTTTTTTTGCCAAGGATGATTGGCCCTGGGCTAACATCTATGCCCATCTGTCTCTACTTTTATATGGGACGCCACCACAGCATGGCTTGACAAGCGGTGCGTTGGTGCGTGCCCAGGATCTGAACCTGTGAACCCTGGGCTGCCAAAGCAGAGCGCCTGCACTTAACCGCTGCGCCACTGGGCCGGCCCCTTAAATTTTTTATTTTGATGGAAAATTAGCAATTCTTACACTGCCATAAAGACTTTCATTTCACAATTTACCAGATTGATTTCACAAACTTTCGGGAGTTAGATTATGTGTCCAACAGTTACAAAATTGTTTTTGTGATGGTTACTTTGTAACATCAATGAGGTGCTACTACATCAAGCGGGGATTATTAGGTGGCAGCTCACCCTCGCTCAGCCCTGGCTGCCTCCACCCTCACATAGATGATGTTCCTCTTGAGGGCCCTCCCAGTGCCATGGCAGAGGGAGGAGAGGAGAAGATCTGACACACACATCTCAGAGCCCAGAACCCACCCATTCACCCCACTGCAGTGCTCATGGGGCAGTGAGGGAGCCCACCAGAGTCACCAGCTTAGAATTTAAGCTGCCCAAATAACTCTGCCTTCTACCCCCCTACCCCACCTTGCTGCCCACCTCTCACTCCAGCCTCCTGAATACTGGCCTCACCTGATGCCCAGGAAGCTGGGGGGCTCCCCTGGGGCACAAGCTCTGCTCTCTCTCCGAAGACTGTCCATGTGGGCCAGGGAGATGACAGTGGCTGAGACATACCAGGGCAGCCCAAGCACTGATGTGAGCAGCATCAGCACAGCCACACAGAAGAGGTCCAGGTGGAAGCCAGCTCCCTTCTACAGGTAGTGGGGCAGTGAGGATGAAGCTAGCCCAAGCCTGGGCCCTCTGTCCTCTGGGGTGGGAAAGGGGGAGCCAGTACCCTACCCTGAGGCTTCTGTCCCTTGGTCTAGGGGCCTAGGTCTTACCCGGCAGGACTTACCCGCAGTCTATATTCGGCCCGGTTGAGGATGACCGCTGTGATCTGCTGGTCCATGAAGATGAGGATTGAAAGCAGCAGGGCAGGCAGGGCAGCTGCCACACTCAGCCACCAGGGGTTGGCTCCAAAAGGTGACACCAACCAGCCACGCCCAGGGAGTGTGGGCTGGGGGAGGGTGTTCCATGGACATGTTGGAAAGGGTCTCCAAGAGCACCTCACCTGCACCCCCAGCCTTGGCATTCTTCCACAACCCCTGCTACCCAGCCCCCAACTACTCCCACCTCCCACTCTAAGACCCTGGAGGCTAGGTGGGAGCTAAGTGGGAGCAGTGCGTGTGCATGTGCACAGCTGAGTCAAAGTATCCCAGTGCTTTAAAAGAGGGCAGAAGGAGGGGCACCACCCTGGGGGTTGGGCTGGAGCCAGGGGCTCTGGACTTCAGTTCTCTGGGTTCCCCCCACCCCTTCCAGAGGGGGAAGTGGTGGATAAAGCCTGCCCACACTTCTTGGTGCATAGAGCCCTCCTTCCTAGGAACCCCACCACCACCATCCGGGGTGGGGCAACTCAGGCTCAGACCTGCCTTGATCTGGGGCAGGGGCAGGGCTGGGTGTGTCTGCGTCTGCTCTGATTACAGGCGTCTGTGTGGGGGAGGGGACCCCCGTTGCTGTCTGGGTTCTGAGCCCCTGAGGCTGTCCCAGTTGGAGTCCCCTGCTCTCTTGTCCTGGGGGGAAACCGGAGGGGAGGTCTCCAAAGGCACAGGCCAAGTCTAAATGCTAAGTCAGTGCTAAGCCTTGTCCTGTGCACTGTCATGTCCCGGAGAGGGGGCTCCAGCTTTATGGGATCAGAGCAGGCAACCGGGGGTACAGAGAAGAGAGTGTGAAATAGTGTAGTGGGTGGGGCCAGGCCAAGGGTGGGGAGAATGTACAGCAACAATAGTTAACATTTATTGAGGTCTTGGGATGTGCCAGTCCCAGTACTGTGGTAAATGATTTACACCATAATCTTCTGTGAACCTCGAAACAACCTACGAGGTAGGAACTATTGGTATTTATTATTTCCATTTTATAGATGAATAAGTTGAGGCTCAGAAATGTGGGTTAACTTGCCTAAGGTCACATGGCCAGGAAGTGGCAGAACTGGAACTCAAACCCAGGGCTGGCTGACCAGAACCCATCCTATTTACCCCTCACCTCTAATAGCTACCAACTATTCTGTGCTCACTATGTGTCTGGCGCAACACCTCATTAATCATCACAACAACTCTGTGAGGCTGTTATTATTACTATTTCTATTTTATGAGTGAGGATTCTTAAGTTTAGAAGAGGAGAAGTGTGGGATCCATGCATCTTCCTCCTCCAGGGTCCTGTCTGCTGGCCCTGCTTTCCCTCTGTCCTACACTCCCAGCTCTCACCTTGAACTCTCTGGGCACCATGAGCTTCGGCGTAGCTAGGCCCAGGAAGGCATCGAGGCCACAGCCCAGCAGGATGGCCAGGACTGAGGAGAAATCGCCAAGCACCTTGCGCACCTGGCCACACAGCGCACACTCAGTCAGGTTCAGGCCCGCCACCCTTTCCCATTTACAGACAGGGCCCAAGGCCAAGAGCCAGCCCTCTTCCACAGAAAGAGAGGTGACACTCACCACAGAGGGGAAAAAGCGGCTGGTCTTTACATACTTGAGGGCCGTGGCAAAGAGGAAGGAGGTAAGGAAGAGGAGGAGGGAGAAGAAGGCGATGTCCGGGACGGTATGACAGCTAGGGCCACGAGGGCGGCCTCCCCGCTGGGCACACTCGGGTGGGGGCAGCAAGGATGCATTGACCAGGCCTAGGTCCTGCATGGAGGGGTGGTCAGGGATGGAGTTATGGATGATGGAATATGGCGCCCACTGAGACACCAAGGGCCCAGGACAGGAGGTCTCCAGCCACAGCAAACGGCTGGGCCTCAGTGATGTCTGAGAGTTTCCCTAGCTGCAGGGCAGGAAGAGCCAGGAATCACTGACTTCTTGGGCCTCCACTCTTTCTTTCCCAGCCCCTCCCCAGAATAGGCCCTTACCACGCTTAAGATGTCATCTCTGTCTTTCAGTTTTGTCCTTGTCCACTGAGACTCATTTCCTGGGAAGCAAAGAAGAATACAGGTGTATACTCCTATCCTGGGAACCTTCTCCAGCCCCCCAGGAGCCTAATCTCACATGTCCAGCTGAATCAGAGAATTCTTAGTTCTTACTCATCTGTCTGCTGACTCCAATTGCTACCAAGTCTGTGCTCCTCAGGACATTGCCTCGTGCCGTCATCCTTTCAAATTCCCTACCTATCTGTATCCCGGTGCCCAGCACAGGACTGGCCAGAGCAGGTACCCAGCAAATGTCTGCTCAATAGATCAGCACATAAATCTGTGGGTTTCCACTATGGCCAGAACTGGTCTTGTTCATGTCTAGCAGAGAGTCTGGCACCCTTGAGAGGACACTTCTTCCCCAGTCCTGGTGTTTCCTTCCATGAGGAGGGATATGTACAAGTATAATACTCTGAGCTTCCCTCTACCTGATCAGTCACTCAGACCCAGGGGAAGAGCAGCAATTTATTTGATTGGTGAATTTGAGAGAAGAAGCTGGGCATGACTGGCCCTGCCTCTTCCTCTTCTCTCTCTCCTCTTATTTATTTATTTTTTGGTGAGGAGGGTTAGCCCTGAGCTAACATCTGTTGCCAATCTTCCTCTTTTTGCTGAGGAAGACTGATTGGCCCTGGGCTAACATCCGTGCCCATCTTCCTCTACTTTATATGTGGGACGCCTGCCACAGCATGACTTGATAAGTGGTGCGTAGGTCTGTGCCGGGTATCTGAACCTGCGAACCCTGGGCCACAGAAGCACAGCACGCGAACTTAACCACTACGCCACTGGGCCGGCTCCCATGCATGCATTTAGCTCTGCTCCTCTGAGGCAAGACAGTCCCTGTCCAGAGCAGCCGTGACTGGGTGGGTAAGTCTATCTAATTCGGGTTTCATCATTCGTTCACCCATAGATGTAACCATGTTCTTCTATCAGCATTGTCAGAAATAAGGATGATATTGCGCCTGCTCTGTTGACTGACTTCTCGATTAATTCAGAACCAGAGTGAGAAGAGTGGTGCTGGTTATCAGGTGAGTAAGTACTCAGCATTTTGCTGAACTTAACCAGTGGGAGACAGCAAGGGGACAACCCCTGCGCCTCCTGCATCCTCTCTCATCCTACCAAGCTCCCTATTTCTCTCACCCACCTCCAGGGTCTGGGAACTGGCAGAGGCAGCCATAGGTGAGAGAGCCAGGCCTCTGGATGGGATAGGCACGGGTCAAGCTCAGCATTTTGCCTACGGCATCGTAGATGAAGATGAGGCTGATGAGCGCACAGAAACCTTCCTCGGTGAAGCGGGTAAAGTAGCGCACCAGCACGCTGGCCTCTGTGGCCACCAGCACCAGGCAAAAGGTGGCCACCCAGATGCCCACCCACAGGCGGAAGGGCAGGTAGTCCAAGCTGTAATCTCTGGGGGGTGAGAGACAGGCAGGGCTTGGCAGTGGTGTTCTGTTCCCCACTTAACCCAAGTCAGGTGCCCCTGGAGCCAAACAAACAGTTCCCACCCTTCCCTTTTGATCCAGCGAGGGCCAGGCTGAGGGTGAGGCTATGAGGATCTGGTGAGGTGGGGGAGTTCTCCTACCTGCTGAAAGAGAAGAGCAGGCGTTCAAAGACCAGCACTGGCCCAGTGCTGCTGAGGATGGTGAGGGGCTGGCCTGCCATCAGGCAGAAGGCAGCTCCAGCCACTGCCGTGCCCAGGAAACTTTCCAGCACCCCCTAGCAGCGACAAGGGACCCTGTCAGCAAAGGACCCTGGTGTCCTCAGCACAGGAACCCAAGCTTCCAGGGAGCCTCCTCAGCCCACCCATAGTCCCCCGGGGAAGGGCAAAGGGCATGGCTGGTGGAATACCAAAGCTTGTGCCTGCCCCCCTCATGCCAACCCCCACCCACCTGAGCACCGTTGGTGGCTTCTCCCAGCAGACCTCCGAAAGTGATGGCGTTAGTGACGGTGGCCAGATAGATGTACAGCACGGCCGAGAAGCACTGAGGGTGCAGGGCGTCCAAGAAGTCGCTGGGGTACCACGAGGCCTTCCGGCGCACGTCCTGGACAAGGCCCCCAAACAGCCTCCCGCCCGTGGGTCGTCAGTGATCCAGGTTCCCACATCCCACGCCCCTATTCCCGCTACATTCCCTGTGGCCAGGTGACCCCCTCCCACAGTAAGCACACCTCGATACCCCTGTGACTCCTCCTACCCTGCTCCCAACCCAGGTCGCCTCACCTGCCCGTCCGCTGCAACTCCGGGCTGGGTGCGTGCAGCCGGTGGCTGTGCCTGTCCTCAGCCGGGGCCCTACGCCGACCAAAGGAGCCTCCGACCTCCCGCAGGTGCGAGGAGAGCCTGAGAACGGGAACCCAGGTTGGCTGAGGATCTCCAATCAGTCCGCGACTCGGCGCGGGAGTGCACGACGCCCTGCCCCCTGGCGGCTGCTCGTGCCTCTGCCGGCGGATTCCAAATCCAAAATAAGTCTCTGTCTCTTTCCTGGGATCCCCCCACTCCTCAACAGTGGAACTGGACCAAGGCCCGTGGGGAAGGATCTATATGGGACGATGACCCGCAGATACCTTTTGTGCTGAGAGGGCAGACATTTAGGCGGGGGAATCCGGGCTGTCGGGTCCCACCGACCTGGAGGGAGCACTGTCACCTCCTCTAGGAAGGCATCCAGGGCTGCCAGAAGGTCATGAAGGTTGCTGGCCCGACGAACTGACCACTGGAATTGCTGAGGATAAGTGCACAGAGGGGCAGTAAATGCAAATCTGGACCCGTGATGCGTTTTCGCAGTCTCAAAACTAGACACACCAAGTCACATAGGCAGACAAGTCATTCAAGCATTCATTCATCAACACATGCATTCAATGAGTATGTACTGGGTGCCTACTGGGTGCCAGCCCTGTACTAGGTAAGGGGCTACAGTGGTAGCAAGGAAACTTCAGTCCTCATGCTCACAGACACAAAGCCACACTCTGCCCATTTGCTGTACTGTCACACATATGGAGTCCACACACACTCACTGACATGAGCCTATGTATGTGCATGCATGCACACACGCACTCATGCACACACATACATGCCTGCCCAGCTCACCGGGTCACTGAGGAGGACAGCCACTGCCCGTCCCATCTCATGGTAGCCTCTTCCCAGTGCGGGGGGACCGAGGAGGAGGCAGAAAAATCTGAGGAAGGAACCAGGCCCCAGGGAGGGTCAGAGGCTGCTATCCCGTGGGGCAGCCCTGACCTCTGACCTCCCTACCAGCCCCTACACACACACTCACATGCACACCTACTTTGCAGCACTGACCACTACTCTCTCTCCAGACTACTGAGCACCATCCCCCACAAAACCCCAGAGAACTGGACCAGAGACCTCCCAATCCCCTCCCCGGTAAAAGCCCTTCTTCTGGGCTCCAGGATCCCTGACTCCCACTCAGCAGCCTCACCTGCTGGGGAGAGGCACCTCAGTAAGGGGCCCCAGCACTACTGGATCCCGCAGTCGCACAAAGGCACCCAGGGGCTGTGCCAGGAAGCCCAGCTCTCCTACCAGCACAGCTGCTGCCTCAGCCCCTGGAGGCAGCTTCTGTGTCAGGGGGTTCTGATGCTGGATGCGGGTTCAAGGAGACACAGAGGATAAGGGGTTATTTGGAGAGGGAGATGTTGACGGAGGAGTCTAGTGGAGGATGGGACCCTGTTAATCCCTGACCCCTTCCCAGCCCTGCCCAGGGACGGGCCACAAACCTGCTCCTTCAGTGGGGCTTCCTCATCATGAGAAGCCTCTCTTGGATGGGCAGACCCTTCAAAACAGGATTATGCAATGATGAAGAGCACAGACTTTGGGGGTGGACCCACCAGGGCTCCCTGACCAGCTTTGCCATTGACAAGCTGTGAAAACTGGAGCACACCCTTCCCCACTCTGAGCCTCAGTTTTCTCATCACTAAAATGGGGATAATTGTGGTGCTACCTCACAGGGTGGTTGTGAGGGTTAATTGAGATACTGAGTGTAAAGCTCCTGGTGCAGAGCCTCCCAAGAGTGTCCCTCCACAGAGCTCCCGCTGTTATGGTTCTAGCCCCTCCATTCTTCTCCCTCACCATTACCCCCGCTTCCTCTCGCCCTGGGGTTCTGGGTTGAGGTCTGAGCTGAGGCTAGGCCACTCCTGGTCTAGGAAGGTGCAGGGGAGATCTGGGACTCTCCCACCCCAGAGTTTTGGGTCCTGGGCCCAGGGAGGGGCTTCTCACCCCAACAAGGCCTGGTTCTTGTGGTCTGGATGAGGTGCTGGGGTCTCTGCAGCAACAAGGCCTGCAGCTGCTCTCCCAGCTCCTGGCTCAGCTCCACTCTGGTCACCTGCTCTGGAGAACAGAGTTGGGGCTCCAACCCTTTCCTGTCCCTGAACTCCTCCCCGCCCCTCTCCACCCAGGTCCCTTTCCCTTCTGGGAGTCTCAGGGAATACAGGGACCATGAACTTGCTCCCCTACTCTGCTTCTCCATCTCCCCCCTGTGACAAGGGTGGATAATCCCTTGGGTGGGGTAGGGTGGGCTCTGGAAAATTCCAAGACTTTGGGGGTATATCTTAGGGAAATGGCATGGCTTCCCAGGCCCACCCTGCAAAGGCTTCCAACATACCCACGAGCTCTAGGAGGCTCTGAGCTGGACAGTCCAGCAGGACAAGGCCCTCGGCCAATAGACTGCGGAGCTTATGGAGGCTGGGCAGTGCCAGGGTGGGCACGTGGGGGGCACTCCACCGGCCTGCACCCACCTCCAGCTTCTCCTCAAACATCACCCACCTGTAGTGGAGAGGGGTAGACAGCGTTATTGGGGACATCTCTCCCAGGTCCAGGAGTGGGGACACAGGAGAGCTAGGGAAGGTAGGGCAATGGTGGAGTCCTGGGCCCAGTTGTGCAGAGTGTGCCCCTCCCTGGGCAGTCACCCCTCATCTGGGATCTTGGGGAACTCAAAATTAGACTGCAGAGAAAGCTGAGCATCATGAAGGGTGAGGGCCTGAAATGGGGAACACAGAGAGGGACTCCTGATTGGAGGTGAGAATACCCGCCAGGAGGAGCTGGAGGTCATGGAGGAGGCCCCAGCTAGGGAAGAGGAAGGACCCCATAAAACTGGCCTGGGTCCCACTTACCTGCCTGTCTCTCTCCACTCCAGTGCCTGGGGCCAGCCCAGCAGTTCATTCAGCTGAATGAAGAGCAGAGGGTCCTTGGGTACCCCTAGTTCCCTGCTGTCTGTGTTTGAGGGGCCATCAGGGCTGGAACCAGAGCCAGAGCCACTGTCTACCTCTCCTACAGGCACATTTTCACAAGCATTGGAGATGTCAAACTCCTCCTGGCCTGGTAGCTTCATCTTGGTGAGGCTTGCACAGCCTCTTGGGGACCAGGCTAGTCCTAGGTTCTGAGGCCACAGGCCCTCTGGCAGGCTGCATTTATAGTGCACCCCCCATGCAGTACAACACAAACAGAGCGAGAGCCCTGCTGACTCCAGAGCCAACTGGCTCACCTCTGCCCCTGCTTGCTTTCCCCACCCCTCACTGGCCTGAGAGTGTTTGTAAGGCTAGCCTGAACTTTCCCAGGCTCTCCAGAAATGCTCAACCTGGGGCCAAAGTGTTGTGTGCATTTCCTGTGGGATCAGGTCTGACCCCACTGTGTTTTGTGTAAATAGACAGGAGTAAGCTGCTGGCCTGGGTCTGAGGACTGACACCCCCAGATTATGCTGCCCTCTACTCTGTATCAAATACAAACACCAAACAGCCAGAACTGTTTTGGGTATCACCAACACACCCTAAGGGCATCCATTTGGACAAACAGAGACCTAATAAATAACTAGGTCTATAGAAACCAGGCAGGGTAAGGGAGACAGCAGGCAGAGGCTCTGCCTGTTAAAAGGGCTAATGATGGAAAGTGGAGGCAGTTCATGGAGAACACAATGCCTGAGTCTTAAATTCCTTTGTCCGACAACACCTGGAAACTCCCCAATGTAGCTGTATCCTTGGGGTCTGCCCCTCTAATTCAGCCCACCAGTGAGGACAGAGGAGCCATCTAGGGTGTGTGTGTGAAGGAGTTCCTGGAGCTAAATGAGCAAAGGAGAATGTGATCTATTAGCAAGTCTTGTCTCTACCTTTGAAATATACCCAGCATCCAACTGCATCGCTCCACCTCCAACACTACTACCCTGATCCAAGCCACTATCATTCCTCACCTAAATTATGTCAGTAGCTTTCTAATCTCTTGCAATAATCTCCCTGCTTCCACTCTTTCTTCCTTGCCCAAAATCTATTCTCCACACAGCAGCCACAGGGATCCTTTTAAAAGGCAATCAAGCCACATTACTCTTTTGCTCAAAACTCACCCAATACGGGCCAGCCCCGTGGCTTAGCGGTTAAGCACGCACAGTCCCCTACTGGCACCCCGGGTTCGGATCCCGGGCGCGCCCAGACGCACCACTTCTCCGGCCATGCTGAGGCCGCGTCCCACATACAGCAACTAGAAGGATGTGCAACTATGACATACAACTATCTACTGGGGCTTTGGCGGGGTGGGGGAAGGAGGAGGATTGGCAACAGATGTTAGCTCAGAGCCAGTCTTCCTCAGCCAAAAGAGGAGGATTAGCACGGATGTTAGCTCAGGGCTGATCTTCCTCACAAAAAAAAACAAAAACACACACAAACAAAAAAAAACCTCACCCAATACATTCCCATTACTCCTAGAAGAAAAATCAAACTGTCATGGCCTACAAGATCTATAGTCCAGCCCCAGCCCACCTCCCTGACCACATCTCAACCCTTTTCTCCTTGCTCACTCCTTTCCTTGGTCTGTTATGCAAAGCCTGTTCCTGCCTGAGGGTCTTAGCTATAGCTGTTCTCTTTGCAATGAAAGCTTCCCCCCCCAACCCCATCCTCACATGACTGTCACCTAGGTCTCATCTCAGACATTACCTACTCAAAGAAACCTTCCTTTCCCACCCAGTCCTAAGTGTTCACTCAGGTCACTCTCCATCACACTTCTCTGTTTTATTTTCTTCCTAGCAGTTATCACTGCTAGTAACTGCTTCATTTATTTGTTTGTCGTTTATTGCCTGCCCCTCCACACTTACACACTGGAATGTTCCCTCCACGGAGCAGATATTTTATCTATTTTCTGCACCGCTGCCCCTAGAGCACCTAGTGGCACTCAATAAATACTTTTTCAATGAGCGCATAGAAAGGGAGGGGCTGGGAAATGAGCTGCACTTCTCCTGGAGGCCACACGAGGGTACTGCTCCCCGTGGACCGCATCTCTCCGCTGCTCCCGTGGGCGGAACGGAGGAGTTCGTTTCTGCAGCTGACCCGCCGGGGCCCCGAGATGGCGAGATGGCAAGGAGGGGTCATTGATCCTCTGCCTTGCCCTGGCCCATCGTGGGCTGCTTGGCGGGAGGGGGTGTTGGGGGAGCGCAACAGGAATGGGGAGAGAGGGCCAATTAGGCTATCTGAATGTGGGTCAAACTCCCCACTAGATACCTGGGACCCATCTCCTCCCTGAGAAACGGGACTCAAGCTGGCTCTGTCCACCAACCCCAGGTCTGGACTTGGAGAGATTCGCCCAAGTCCAAGGAGGTCCCAGGACAGGAATTAGAGGAACGAGTCACTTTACCAGCTGGCGACCAGGTGCTGAGTCTGAGGGGGCAGTTGGTTTCAGATCCAGGAGGAATAGAAACTGGCCTAGGGCCTGAGAGGGCTGGGAATCCCTGTGACCACCCACTTCAAGAATGTGCCCCAAGTGGGGGCAAGTGACTCAAGGGAGCCTGAGGGGAACAGGAGCATGGATTTGGTATGAATAACTCTTCACATACACGTCCTCCCTTCCCACCCCCACTCCTGCCAAAGTTCAGAGGGTCTGCCCTTGCCCTCTCTGTGGCCCCAACTACCCTGGCTTCCAAGGCTGCCAGCATTAGAGCCACCATGCCTCCACTCTCCCCAGGCCCCACTTCCACCACTTGGGCCCTGAGGGCCCTGAGCTGGGCAGCTTGGTGAGGGATGTGAGTGGGAACCACAGGTCTCCTGTGGGCACCAGCGGTCTTCCTGATGGGGCCCAGTGGAGATGTGCTGTGTGGGCAAGCAGCCCTGGTGTGGGCACTGGAAAATACCCTGGCCCCGGAGTGCAAAGACTGGGTTCTCTTCCTGCTCAGTCGCAGACTTATTTGGTGTCTTTCCCCTCCCTGAGCCTGTTCTCTTACATGTAAACTGAGACGGAGTAGATGATTTCCAAGGTTCAAAGCATACCTTTATGCAGTACGCTGAGCTGGACCCTGAGGGAGAGGGTGTGGTGTCATGCACAGGCTGCCTGGGTGTAAATCTGGGCTTTGTCCCTTTCTAGCAAGTGGAGAAGAGATTTATCTTTGCAGAACCTGAGTTTTCTTATCAGCAAAAGGGGAATAATAAAAGTACCCACTTTATAGACTTTATTAAATGAAATAATGCATGTAAAATAGGCCTGGCACATAGTAAACACAATAAAGGGAGGCTGTTTTTATTACATAACTATGAAAATAGTCACTCCCAGAGCGGTGAAGAAAGAAAATATCATGTATTGAAATGCCAGTGTATCCAACCACTGCCCTAGGCACATTATCACTTGTAATCCTTATAACAAGCTTTTTTAAAACTTTTGATTTTTTAAAACTTTTTATTTAACTTATTTTTTTAACTATTTATTTATGTGAGTCTAATTATAGAAGAAGAAATATGAAAAAATTTGCAGGAAAAGTACAGAGAGGTCTCTGGCTGGTCCTTTTCATCCAGCTTCCCCCACTGGTAACATCTTACATGAGGATAGTCAAATCAATATGAAAACCAGGAAAATGACATAGGTACAATACTGTTAACTAGACCCCAGACCTTATTCAGATTTCACCAGTTCCTACATGTACTCATTTGTATGTGGGTGTGTTTGTCTGTAGAGTTTTATGACATTTTATCACGTGTATAGATTCACTTACAAGAAGCTGGGCAATTGCTTACCCTCCTTAAGCCTTGGTTTTCTCATCTACAAAATGGGGGTGAAAACACTATCTTCCTCAGAGGACTGTCGTCAGAATTAAATGAGACAATATAGGTAAAATGCTTACAGCAATGCCTAAAATGTGGTAAGCACTCAATAAATGTAAGTATTTATTTTAGAAAAAGTATGTTTTGAAAAGTGACTTAAAATACATAAATAATTCATATTTATTATAGAAAAACACAGAAAATACCCATAAGAGTAAAAATAACACAAAATAAAGTTTTCATAATGCTCTTACCTAAAAATAACCTTATTGTCAATAATTTTACTCATACCACAAATTTGAGGTTCATTTCTTTATTCCCACTTCACCGTAAGAAAACCGAGGCTCAGAGAGTTTAGGCAGTTTGCCATAGTCACTGATTTTATAAGTGAGGAGCTGAGATTTAATGCACACTCTTGTCTCCAAGAGCTCCCAGCTGGGGGTGATAGATAGGCCTGTGGATGAGACCAATCCAGTATGGGATGGGCTGGGATCGGCAGCAATTACTGGCTTCGAGGGCTTGCTATGTTCTAAGCACTGCCTTAGCACCTCACAGCTTATCTCAGTGAGTCTTCATGATAGCCCTTTGAGGTGAGCATCGTTCCCATTTCTAGATGAGGAAACTGAGGCTCAGAGAGGTATCCTGCCCAAAGTCAGAGTTAGGGGCCGGTGGACCCAGGGTTCAGAAAGGGGTCAGCCTGAGCTTCAAAGCCTCTGCTCTGAGGGCTTCAGACAAGATGCTGGGAGAGTGTGTGTGGAGGGAGAGTCTCTCCAGGTGGAGCTATGGGCTTCTCTGATCCTGGAGCTGGGATGCCCTTCTCTGACCCCAGACCACCGAGATCCAGCCAAGACTTGGAGTAGGCCTTGACAGCTGGAGCCTACTTCCTCTCCTCACAGTGCCCACACCCTATCTGGAGTGGAGGGCTGAGGGCCTTTGAAGGGGAAGAGGCAAAGGTATCAGAGAGACCGAGACTGCAGAGCAAAACCGCCCAAGCCTGCCATAAACTGCTCTGCCTCAGGCTTTCCAGGTACCTCTGACCTAGACTTCCAGACTCAGGAAGTGTTGGGAAGGTAACTGCAGGTACATGATTTTTGAGTTTCACACTAATTATTTATGCTCCCCTTACTTCCAGAAAAGATTTTAAAACAACAAGAGACATAGAAACAAGTAAATATTTAAAGAATGATTAAAGAGCCACATAATGAAATCAAATTGGAGAAGAAAGAAATAATTGTCCTCAAAATGCTGGGCTAGGGATAATCAGTGAAACTGAGTACCAAAACTTAACTGTGAGCTTCCTGGTAGGGGATGCAAAAAGGGAACATACAAATTCCACACCTCTCATTATCTGATAAAAGGAATACCTATACCGGATAGTCATGAGCCAAATTTCCTAACCCTGAACCACAAGAGGAATTTATT